TTTAGGCCCGCACGCAGCTCCGCATCTGGTGCTCATTACCAGATGACAAAGAGCCGGCTCTGGGCCCCCTTCCCCACTCCCATCCCCCCTCCGGCTGCAGTGAATTTAACTCCTTCCTGCCCTCAGGGCGCTCCGGATCCCCCACGCGGGGTCACGGGAGGGAGCTCCAGACCTTCCCGTCCTGGCAGGCCCTGTCGCTTCCCACGCTGCGCCCGCGGCTCCTTCCCAGACCCAGGCGTCTTGGCCGCCCCGCGACCCTCACTCCCATCCCGCAAACCTCCCCGACGGCGTCTCCGAGGTTAAAGCTCGGCAGGGTCTGGCGGGGGCGTCTGGATTGAGTTAGCGGAACGTGAGAGAGGGGAGAGGGGACCAGAGGCGGTGCGGAGCGCTCCCGCAGCCCCCTCCGCGACCCCCCGGTTCGCCCCCCGCTCTGGCCCCTCCTCTCCCGGGCCCCAGCCCGGTCCCAGGCCCTGGGCCAGAGGGTGGCATTGGGCCCCGGTAGGGAAGGGGCGCTGGGCCACTCCTCCTTGCCTGCCCGGGTGGTCGTGGCTGCACTGCCCGGTCCTAATTAGAGGCCCGGGAGAGGCTGCAACTGAAAAATTACAGAGGTGGTGGGAACGCGCGCCTCCCCCGCCCCCCAAGGCAAGGAGCCCAGGATGAGGGGGGTCACCCCCACAAGGCTGTGATCTTTGACCAGCCCCTCCCTCCTTCAGTTCTTGGGACACCACGGCCCCGAGCAACGCGAACCCTCGCTCCTGCTGGGGTCGGCTGAGTTCTCCTCGGTCCCTGCGCCCCGCCCCCCAGCCCACACGGAGGAGAGCAAAGCGTGGCCCGAAACGGGAACGCTCTGCCGCCGAGGCTGCCCAGGGAGCTGGTATCTCTCCTGAGTTCCGTGCTCTCCCCATCCCAGCCTACGGGGCTCCTGGCTCCTCCCCAGGGAGGAACACCCGCGATCTGAAGGGGTGGCAGCACCCTTGCGTGACCCTGAGCCCAACTCCCAATTTCTGCAAAGCCAACGATGGGAAGGAAAGGGCCGGAAGAAAGGAGAAACTCAGCCCCCCAGGTCCTCCCCGCTTCACTGCCCTGAATCACCAGCCCCAGAGCCTACCTTGACCCAGTCTATCTCCAGTTTAGCAGAGGCTCTCAATCCACAACCCTCCCCCAGATTCAGCTCCATCTTCTTGAAGTTTTGGTAGAAAGAGGAACGAACATGGAATTTTCTCTATGCCAGACTTCCCAGGTCTGGACTCAGCTGTGTGACCTTGGGCAAGGTTCTGCACTCTCTGGGCTCTGCTCCCCTGGAAATCTCTGAAGCATACCTTCCCTTAAGAAGTCTTACCTTAGCTCTTTGAGGGCCCAGACAAACCGAAGAAAGATCCCTTCTTTTTTTTTCTGAGTCCTCCCAGACCCTTCCCTGAGGCACCAACGGGGGTCAGAAGCTTTGGGTGTGGTTGGCACCCCATTTATTGGAGAAGACCCCAGCACCCACCCCCTGAGGTCTCGGAGGCCTTGGCGTATCCTCTGTCGGGAGTCTGGGCCAGGGAGCAGAGTTCCCGAAAGTAGTGGTTGACTGAAAGGAGCCTGGCTGGCCGGGTAGTAGGACGCCCTCTGTCCAGCTGGGTAGCCCACATGGGTCCCTGGTGCAGCCTCGGCCACGTGTCCAGTGCACACACCTTTCCCCTACCCTGCAGGGGTGTCTGCACCCCATCACACGCTGGTTCTGCAGGTCTGCACTCCTGTGAGGCTGCCCCTGGGGGGCATGGGTTCTGTTGGGCTCTTGCTGCCAGCATGGGTGACCCAGCGATAGCAGTCGGTGACGCGCTTGTTGGGCGCATGGGGGCCACAGCGGGTGCAGTACACAATGCCCAATGCGAGTAGGACCACCAGGAAGACGCATGTGGGCACCAGGAGTGCCACCAGCAGCCACCGGTCATCCCTCCGCCTGTGGCCTGCCAGACCAGCCTCCGCCAGGACTGTGGGGGCTGCCGTGGGCAACCACGGGACCAACTTGGGACTGGGGCCACCTTCCCTTGGGATTTGGGGGGCTTTGGAAGGAGGATGTGTAGGGCTGATGGGCAAGGTCTCGTTAGGGGGACTCTGGGAGGACAGGGGAGGTGGGAGGGCTGGGGGCTGGGTAGCAGCAGGCACAGGGACTTGATGGGCAGGGGACACAGGCGACCTGGAGGTAGGGGTCAGAGAGGGCTGGACTCTCGGGATGATGGGAAGCTGAGTGGCTTGGGTTCTGAAGACAGGGATATCCGGGGCCAGAGGGGGTTGATGGGCACTGGGGGTAGTGACCAGAGGGGCACGGTTAGCTGGATTCCGAGGCAAAGGGGTGGTGGTCTGGGTATCAGCGACCTGGGTATCTGGAAACTTGGGGGACTGGTGGGCAGGGAACAGTTTAGGATATCTGGTTGAGGTAATGAGGGTCTGGTGGGCAGGAGGCCGTGCAGGGTGAGTGACAGAGATAATTCGGGGTTGGTGGGCAGAGGACAGATCTGGAGAGTTGGCTGCAATCACCGGGACCTGGCGGTCAGGGGGCAAAGCTGGGTGTGTGGCAGGGATCACAGGGGGCTGGTGGGCAGGGGGCAGGGGTGGGTGTGTGGCAGGGACCACAGGGCGCTGGTGGGCAGAAGGCAGTGTGGGGCGTGTGGCAGAGACCACCACGGGCCGGGTGGCGGAGAGCACTGAGGAGTGGTAGGGGACCCTGGGGGCACTGAGTGGCGGCGGCCAGGTGGGCTCCGGATAGGGTATCCGCGGCTGTCCGTCCTCTGGGAAGCTGGGTCTGTAGGCCAGGGCAAAGTCAGGCGTCTGTGTTGGTTCCATCCACAGGATCCCCGGCATCTCCGTCCAGCTACCATCAAAGACCTCCCAGCCCTCATCTTCCTCCTCTTCGTCGTCCCCGTCATCCAGCAGCTCGTCTCCGAGGTCCTGGGAAGCCCGGGTGCCCATGGCCCCCGCAGGGCTGCAGCTGATGCCATCAGCCTCCAGCTCGTGCCCCTCGCTGCAATAGCACTCGAAGCCACCAACATAGTTGACACACATCTGCTGGCACACGCCAGCGATCTGGCACTCATCTGTGTCCACGCAGCGGTGCGGCTCATCCTCGGCTGGCCGGAAACCCAGGCGACAGTGGCAGCTGTAGCCCTGTGGCCCGCCGGGCTCACACTGCTGCTCACAGGGGACCTGGGCACAGGGGTCCTCACAGCTGTGCCCATCTGCTGCCAGCCGGAAACCCTCAGTGCAGCGGCAGGACACGTGACCATCCACACCCTCCACACACTCGTGTTCGCAGCCGCCGTTGTCGGGGCCACAGCCGGTCCCGGGGCACAGGGGCCCAGGCCGTGACCAGCCCACACCTCCATCAGGCTGCTTCACACAGAGCAGAGAGGCTCCCCTGCCAGCCTGGCACTGCACGGTGGCCACAGAGCCAAAGGGCAGCCACTCAAATCCTGTGGAGACCAGGTGAAAGGGCGTGGTGTAGACGGCGGGGCCGGCCTGGCCCGCCTCATCTGGCAGTGCCCGGCAGGCACCCTCGAAGCCAAACTGGCACAGGTAGCCATCTACGGCCAGCGTGCACGAGCCCTCTAGCCAGCGGTGCTCGCCACTCGCCTCGAGGGCCACGCAGCGCTGGGCCGGGCAGGGCCCCCCGGTGGCCAGCTGGGCCCAGTTGGTGAAGGCGGTGTCCTGGTCCCCCGTGGTCCACGTGAAGCCGCGGAGTGGGCGCTGTGGCTGGCATTGCCGGGCCTG